AACCTTAAACACACACATATAATTGAAATAGAATACATCTCAAAACCAGTATATTAAATCTGAATTTTCATTTTTGTTCCTTTAAATTTTCTTGAAAACAAACTGGAATTTCAAAGATCTATAAAAAAACATCATGAGAAATCAATTTGAAAAACAAAAGTTGAAGAAAAATCGTACAATGTAATGAAAGAACACAAAACTACAACTAACAACTAACTTGTAACCAAACGTGAATTAATTGATCTACATCTAATTGATCTAAAACAAGTGATCATAAACTAGAATTGAAAAGATCAATGAAGGAACCAAAAGGAAAACTGATTTAAAGAACAAAAAGTGCAAGAAAATACAATAATTAACTAGAAATAACTAAAATATAAAGTGAAATTCAATCGAAACTCACTGAGTTGATGAAAGAAAAAATTAGGTCTAGAAGCTTATAATGAAAATGAACTTGAAATGAGCTAAGAAACAACTCATCAATCAAGTTTGCTACAAAATTCAACAAGAAAATGGCAGCAAAATAGAGAAAAACCAGTTTAATGAACTAGCAACTCAAGTGATACTCAAAACAGAGAAAAATAGAGCATTAACAACTAAATCTATCCAAACACCAAATGAATTCATGAAAATAAATGAAATCAATTAAAAAATAATGAGTAAACATGTAAAACTAAGAATGTAAAGTATGAGAGAATCAAATCGAACACCTAGAAGGAGAGAGGATCATCATTAATCAAGTTCTCATGCATGGATCATTCAGCCTTAAATTTAAAGAATTAACTGTACTTGTACAGATGGAATTTGAGGCTGAATTTTTACTGGATTATAGCCCTATGAACTAGGAATCTAGAAAAAAAAATTGGAGTAAATCAAGCTAGAATTCACTGAGTTTTGATAAAAAGACTGAATATAGGTCAGGTGTGCGATTTTGAAACCAGATTTGAGTTCAACATGAATTTTACAGAATTTGAAAAGAAAATCATGAGAATTTGTAAATTTCATTATGAAAACCTTAAAAAACATTCAAAAAGAGTGTAGGAAACCTAAAATTGTAATAAGATTCAATTAAGAAAACTAAAATTAAAAGCTATTTGGTTGGAGAGAAAATGAAAATGATAATAGATCAAGTTCTGACAAGAAAAATGAAAGGTAAAATATCAGTTTGTGCTCTAAGTTGCACCAGGAAAGATATATGGAAAGCATAACTTCTTATAAGACAGCTGATTAGTCATAAAATATGGCTTAAACAAGGTTCAAGAAAGTACGAACAAGCATCAACAAATATCATATAGACATTCATGTGAAACCATGGCCTTCCATCCCAAAACCCTTTGGCTTTTGACAAATTATTAAAAGTTCTTTTTGTAATAGAATACAAGATTCAAGTACATTCAGTTATCATGAATTTATACTTTTATATAGTTCTCTTGATTTGAAAGATTTTCTTTTAAAACAATTACGTTTCTCACTTCCTCTCACACTCACCCAAGCACATTCAACACATTAAATCGAACAGCAAGCAAAGATTTCTATATTAAACCAATAGAGATAAAGCAAGAATCAAGGTAAAGTATTCACATATAGATATGAGATAAGTGAGAGCAACCTTGTGCTGGAGTACTCAAAGAGCTTTCTAGCGGCTGAAAAGACTAAAAGAGCTATCTATGCATCGCAAAAAATGGAAAGCTCATGAGCTTTCTTAAAAAGTCCTCATCTCCTCTTTAAGAAAGTCACCTACCTCATTGTTATATTGTCAATCTTCTTGATTTGAATTTTCTTTCTCGCCATTCTCTTCCAAGAAAAAAGCTGAAGAAGAAAAAAAATTATAGAGAAGAAAGAAAGGGTTTAAATTTTGGGAAAAAATTTTAACCGCGCCATTTTTTCACGATAGCGACGTTTACTTAAAAAAAACGTCACTATTTGTAAAAATGATTATTGAAAGCATTTTTGGCAAAAAATACCTTCAATAATCCTCTTAAATTTTTTTAGAAGCAAAAAACGCCTTCAATAATCTCCTCTAATTTTTTAGAGTGGATTATTGATTAGAGAGGATTATTAAAGACGTTTTCTGTAAAAACTCATTCAATAATTCCCTCCATTTTTTATGAGGGATTATTGAAGGCTGAAGCCATTTTCTTCAAAAAAAAAAATTCAATAATCTCCTTCATTTTTTATGAAGTAATTATTAAAGGCGTTTTGTGTAAAAAAACGCCTTCAATAATCTCTTTCAATTTTTTATGAGGGATTATTGAAGGTATTTCAGGCAAAAAATACTTTGAATAATCTGCTTATAAAAAATAAAGATGATTATTAAAGGCGTTTTTTGCCAGAAACACCTTCAATAATTCTCTTAAAAAATTGTAGAAGATTATTGAAAGCGTTTTTTTATCAAAAATGCCTTCAATAAATTTTCTTGTTAATGACTCTGCCAAAAATGAGTAGTGTTGTCAATTAACATACAATCGTTAATCATAAAGTTATAGGTTCGATCTCATAAAACATACAATTGTTAATCATAAGGTTGTAGATTTGATCTCTCTCTTCAACATTTTTTAGGTTTTTTGAAAAAATTCAAAAAATGCTAAAAGGAAAAATCGAACCTACAATCTTATAGTTAACGACCGTATACTCTAACCGATAATGCTACTCTATTTTTGGTAAATTTATTAACAAGGAGATTTATTGAAGGCGTTTTTTGTAAAAAAACGCCTTCAATAATCATTCACAATTTTTTAGGAGAATTATTGAAGGCTTTTTTTTTTTACAGAAAATGCCTTCAATAATCGTTTTTATTTTTTATAAGTAGATTATTCAAGGTATTTTTTGCTTGAAATGCCTTCAATAATCCCTCATAAAAAATTGAAGGAAATTATTAAAGACGTTTTAGAAGATAAATGATACTAATTTTTGTCTTTAATGGTGTTTATAAGTAACAACGCCGTTATTTGAATATTTAGTGACGTTTTGATAATAAACGCTTTAAGTTTTATGAAATCATTAAAGCTAGCGGCACTTGTAAGTAAAATGTCGCTACAAAATTACCACTAATCTTCTATTTTCTTGTGGTGTCACTCGTATTGATTTAGGCAATTTTTCGGGTTCGATCAAATTTATCACATCTAATAATTATATTAACTACAAAATGAAAACCAATTTGAGTAAGACAAAAACTTAACAAATTGGTATAATATTTCAGGAAAATGTAAAATGAAGTTAAATCCGGACAAAACCAATGTAAGTAATATATATATATATATATATATATATATATATATATATAAACTATGTTAATTCTAAAAGTGAGATCCATCATATTTTTTGATAAATCAATTAATTTATAAACGAAAATTTAGAATTAAATCAGTATATTAATTATTGTCCTATAATTGGGCTTATTTTTTTGCAAATCTTTGTAAGTATAAATTTAAATTATGAATAAATTATGCTAAACATGTCAATTGACATTTTTCTAGATCATTTACCAAAAAGAGAAACAGATTGTTTACATTAGACAATTTTTTTTTTTAATTAGAAGCTTTGGTCATCATCGTCGTTGTTATTATTATTATTATTATTATTATTATTATTATTATTATTATTATTATTATTAATAGTAATAGTAGTAGTAACAGTAGCAGTAATTATCAAATTTATCATTTATGAGATACTCTTATTTATTGGATACAAATGTGAATGTAGTAAATGATTAGAAGGCAAAAGTTCAAGTCAGTCTTTACTAACAACTAAAGCTTAAGATTTCATTAAACCTGAAAAATGTCATGATATTTTTCGTCTTTACCATGCAATATTTTAAGCCCTTTATTTATTTATTTATTATTATTATTATTCTTGCAGGTAGACTTTCATCAAATGTTATAATGTCCGAAAATGTGGCATTCAGTGGGAAAAGAAGAAGCATAGGATGCAGAGATACTCTAAGTACAAAGAAAAAACCCCTTAATAATTTTTAATTGCTAGGGTAAACAGTCGCGTGCTGAAATTTATCATGAACAATTCTATTCTACTCAACATTAGAAACTAAAATAAAAGAGTTAAGATAAAATTAACGTTGAGTGATCAATAATTTTAACACATTACATGATTTTATTGATCAACCATATACATCTTTAATAATTTATTGAACCATAAATGTTTAGTTTTTCAAAAATATATTACGGATTAAATGAAAATTCATTTTATAAGCATGTCATGGACAAAGTTATAGTTATCTGATTGTGCGTTTTTTCTGACATATTTTCCCTCTTTTATGCAACAGAAGAAGATGTTTTCTTGGGAACTCTATCAGAGAAACCCTACCTTACTCTGCCCATTTGAGGCTTCCTACAACTCTGACAAAACAAGAGCTGGAGCAGATTGTTGAGGACACAATAGACAAGATGGGTCTTCAAGACTGTGCTGACAGGAAGATTGGAAAATGGCATTTGAGGGGCATAAGCGGTGGAGAAAAAACAAGACTAAGCATCAGTGTGGAGATTTTAACACAACTCCAGGTCCTGTTTCTTGATGAACCGACTGGTGGATTTGGCAGTGCTTCAGCTCTCTTCGTGATTCAAGTTCTGAGAAATATAGCTCATGATGGAAAGATTGTTGTTTGCTCCATTCACCATCCAAGCAGCGATTTGTTCAACCTCTTTGATGATCTGTATCTCCTTTCAGGTGGAGAAACTGTTTACTTTGGAGGGGTTCAACAGGCTGTCAAGGTGAGAATTAATTCAATGACAAGGTTGTTCATGAATGACATTTCCTGTTTGATTTCGTTGGATGTGAAATTATTTAGTGTAGTTCTTTGCTGATGCCGGATTCCCTTGTCCAACAAGAAGAAACCCTCCAGATCCCTTCCTTAGATGTATTAATTCAGATTTTGACAAAATCATAGCCACTTTAATGCAGACTAGGAAAAATTTTATAAGTTCACAGAAATACTCTGATCCTAATATATTTGACAACTGCTTTTAGCAAGAGATATGATTTTACATTTCATTTACTTCTACAGGAAATGATGCCATTGTCATCAGCTTCTTCAACCAATATGACAACCACAGAAATCCAAGCAAAGCTTGTAGAGAAATATAAAAGTTCTGACAATGCAAGAATTGCAAGAAAAAAGATTCAAGAAATAGCTCTCATTGTATGCAATTTAACCAACAATATTACACTAAATATTGCACTTTAATGCGGACTTTGGAGACTGATTACGAGTTCACAACCTCTCTTGCAGGAAGAAGAAAATTGCAGTGAATCAAATACGAGTAAACCTAGCTGCTTGAAGCAGCTGTGTATATTGACTCGTCGATCAAGCCTAAACATCTGTAGAGATATAGGGTACTTCTGGCTAAGAATAGTGTTCTACATTTTAGTAGCATTAAGTGCTGGCAGTTTCTTTTTCAACATTGGAACGAGCAACTATGCCATCTTTTTGAGAGGAAAGTTTGATGGATTCACCTATGGTCTCATGATCGTCTTACCTATCGGAGGCTTGCCTTTCTTCACGGAGTAAATAAAGGTAAATTCCATCTCAATTAGAATTTGCTGAATCTCTTTTATCATCAGGTTTTGGACTGTGAATTTTCCTGCCTCGGAAACCAGGTGTTTCGCCGCGAAAGATTTGGAGGGCATTACGGGGAGGCTGTGTACGTGCTATCAAACTTCCTCTCCTCATTACCATTTGTGGCTGCAATTTCTACCAGCTCGGGGACGATACTATACTACATGGTAAACTTGCATCGAGGAATCTCTCGGTACTGGTATCTCTGTATCAATATCTTCTGCTGCACTGCTGTCACAGAAACCTGCACGCTTATTGTTTCGACACTGGTACCAAACCTCTTGATGTCCATAGGAGCTTCAGCTGGTCTGATCGTAAGTTCTAAACTACTCATCAGACTTGAGTTAACCTGGTTTTAGAAAAATAAGGCACATTTGATATAATAAGATGGACTTGTGGATGGATGTAGGTAATATTCATTATGCCATCTCTTATCTTTCGAAGGCCTGTTGATCTTCCCAGGATCTTTTGGTACTACCTATATACTACATCAGTTTTGCAGCAAGGGCAATAGAGGTAAGAAATCAGCCTGACTCAAGTTATAGATCTGGAAATGTTTTTTTTTTCTCATTTTGTATTTGAGACTGCCAAGATTTAAACTCTAGTCACTGGAACTAAGAATCTAGCACTCTACCCATAGACTATTGATGAAAAATCAGCGTCTAACCTTATATGGTGCAGGGTCAATACAAGAATGATATGATTGGACTTGAATTTGATCCTTGGTGCCTGGAGAGCCGAAGCTTAAGGGGAAGATGATCCTCCAGAATACATTTGGAATTAAGATTCATCATTCGAAGTGGTGGGACTTGGCAGCACTTGCCCTTCTATTAGCAGTTTACAGGACACTCTTCTACATGGTTGTAAGGTACAAGGAGAAAACATCGTCAGTGTTGCACAGGTTTTTTGCCACAACAATCCAACATCCCTTCAGAATATTTCGTCAAAGGAGGAAATTATCTTGGTGAACAGACACCAACCTTGATCATCGGGGAGGAAGTGAACCTTCTTCGAAGGAGACACTGACTGCTTCAGGATTTGTTTCTAAAAACATATTCTTATAACTAGACAATCTGCTTCTATATTTGATGGTAATAGGTGCTACTATAGAGCCTATAGATAGATAGAAAGACTCCGTTTGTTTCCCTTCTCGGATGGTAAATATTTCTCGGAACATGGAATGTGAATTAAACTCATGGTAGAATTAAAATTTGAAATGCTGATGTCAGTTCTTTCTCTTTTGAATCAGATATATTCACCTATGAAAGAGGTTGATAATAAATTCTTTCAAAATTGACTATATTAATTACATATAGTTGTGTGATAAAGATTGGGAGTTGAGGCATACAAAAGCCTACTTGAAATCAGATATATACTCAAATCATCATTAATAACAGGAAATAAATGTTCAGCAAATCGGCCTCGATGACTATAACTTCATAACCAAATGCACAAACCTTAGTCAAAAAGAAAATATATTTCACCGAAAGGTTTGAATGGCTGCCAATTATTCTAGTCAGCAGCATGTAGTCAACCACGTAAAGAAAGTTCATAGCCAAAAATGCCAATTACACATTGATCGCAAGATTGTAACAAAAAACCGTAACAATAAATTGGCAACTCAGCATGTGTAATCTACATTGTAGTTGATCAATACAAGATATCATTTTAAAATTGAAGGCATTTATTCAACTAACTTTTCAGAAGGAACAAAATTGAATCACAAAATGATGATAGCCAAGAATGAACCAGATACTCTCATTTATTTGCTTCAATGAATTCTCTGTACTCTCTTTTCATTTTGACCCCTGATACAGTCCTGCATATCCAGCAGAAAAGAATTGGTGGTAGGCAAGAACTAACAACCTTGGACACTAAATTTTATCAGTTACTGCTTATCTTTTGCAACAAACCTAATTATCAATTAACTATATGACATTCATTTTGCATATATAGCAGAACAGAAATAAAATGCAGGCATGGTGAAAAGAAAAAAGTATGCTAAGAGCAAGATTAGTCAACCTGAGCATCTCTTTAGTTTTGAAAAACTGCACACATGGGGTACCCATAATTCCAGCAGCTTCTGCAATTTCTGGATCTTCCTCAATATCAATTTCAACAAAATGTACATTCTGATCAAATTCATCAATCACCTGTAAATAGAGAAATTTAGCAAAAGATAAGGAAAAGAAAAAGTTATTTAATATAACAATAATCACAATATAGAATCAATGTGTTCCATAACACATTAAATGTGACGGAATACATCCCCACTTTGTCCTTGTATTACAACTATATTTGGTTGACACTTTTGCTATTAGCTTTTAACTTCTGAAAGCGAAAAAGCAAAGAACGTGTTTGGATACAAAAGCAAATACAATTTTTTGTAAAATTGTGATACACGTTAGATGACAAAATGCATGATTGTACCTATGTAGAACAAATACAATATAATTGGTGTCATATTTCAATTATTTGCCTATTTAAATCAATTATGATATTGCTTTACATCTTTACTTTTGCTTTATGGCAATTTTTCATAAAATAAAAAGCAAGATGCAAAAGCAAATAAAATTTTAGATATAATTGTGATACACTTTAAATGACAAATTCTACTTCTACATAGAATTTGTTAGTATTATGATGCTTTAGATCTAAATATACTAATTTCACATAAGCCTCTTTTTCATGCTTTTAGAATAGAATAACCAGTTCTTCTTTCTCTAGTGCTTTGTATTCCAATACACTTACACAATCTCTAAGAATCTAGGATTAAAGCTTTTTCGAATTCTACTGTAGTCAACTTGACAATATTCTTACCTAAAAACTGCATGCTTCTCAAAAATGAAAGCTTCATAAAGAGACAATATGAGACATAAGCACTGATAAAGAGCATCCATGCATTAGATCATCTAAGCTGAAGCCTCAAGGTATGTAGAATGTGTTTAGATCAACGACATAAGTAAATTTGCTAAAATGAAAGACTTCAAGCTCATTTGAAATTAAGAGATCTATCCCCATGTCTTACAAATGTAAATCTCTGTTCTTGCAATATCCACTTTCAGGTTTCACAGGGTATTTTCCTTAAGAGTCAGATGCAAGCCAAGCCTTTAGTGAAGCAATATGATATAATTTTTAATTTCCATCATAACCACCAAGCAAAAGATTCAGAGAATGAGATTTACAAAAGCTTAATAGTCTAATCTGTGTAACCCTGAAACATATAAAACCACATCCAAACTATAATTGAAGATTTCACCAACCAAGCCATATTATTTGGGCTCTGGAAGCTAAATAGTATGCAGTATTGAAACAATTAAAACTAACATACCTTGCTAAGAATTGGCTTCAAAGTCCGACATGGACCACAAGTTGGTGAAGTATATAATACACATATAAGCCTCGGACTCTCATGGTACAACTTTCGCAGAGCATACTGGAGTAGAAATAAGAAATACAGGTTTAGATTTGATACATCAAATTAAAAAAAAAAAAATCATCTAAGACATCTAGATACAAACCTGGCCCTCATGTTTTGTAAGTGTAATGTCAAAACCTTCTTGAACATCTCTATCCGTCAGTTCCTTCTTAACCTCTTCAGTTTGAGGCTATAAGATAGAAGATTATGAAGAAGATTAATAAAAGCATGTGTGAGACAAATTCCAAAGGAGCTTAGTAAATAAACAGCTTGGATAAAAGGCAGATCACAGATATACTAACAAAGTACCTATCGAAAAATATAATAAGAACAGCCAGAGTAGGCATTTGTTAGAAAGACAAGTACCTGATGAAACTCAACAAGGAGATCATTTCTAACTAGGTATCTTTCAACAGATAAAGCTGCAATGCATCCAGATCCAGCAGCAGTTATGGCTTGTCTCCACTCATGATCCTGTTAAATGAAATGACCAAGGGAGTTAGAAGACAAATTCATTATAATACAGACTTTTCCAAAGATGTGAAGTCAAATGATAGTTTGAATTTATGCGGCAAGTCAAGCACCCACCATCATGTTTCATGTAACAATAGGATGCACTTAAGTCTTAAAGATCAATGTTCATTTTCATAAGTAGAAATCATCAAAATAAAAGATGTTATCTTCCATGGTTATATCTATGTTTCTTTGACTCATCAGTTTTCAATAAGTTCATGTATTGTACACATATTCAACACCTCAAAGTGAGTATGGTATGCAGGATGACTCTAAATACAAGGGAAAACTCAGGAAATTTTGAACATGCTCATGTTGGACAAATGCCCATGCCCAACATTTATCCTAACTAACAGAAACATAAATTACAAATCATAGTTCTGACAACAAAAATAACAGAAGCACGATCATATACCTAAAAATAATTTTTTTCCAACTAGTGTACTATTACACTCTCACATACATGTCAGATAGAGGCACATTTCAGAAATCATACACCCCAAGAAAGATAAGAGACACTCATTAACACGATTCTGATAGACAGCATGGTCAAGCAATATTACCAAAGTACCTGAATTCTGGAAGAAATTTAAACTGCATTAACCTTTTGGTCAAAGTAATATTTTGGTATAAGGAATCTCATTAACAGAACTTTATACTATAAATATTCACCCAAATTGATAGCATTCAACTATGATCTTATCCAAATTCCTCACAATTTCTTTATTATAAAAAATAAGAACTTTATGTTGCTATTAGTTTCACAAATCCGTAATCTAAGTTTTTTTCAAATTCATGAGAGCCAATATCTCAATTTAGTTTTATCATTTTGAACTACTAGATTAGCTTGTCACTTGTTCAAATAGAAATTTCTACAAAAATCCAATTTAATAGCAAGTGATCATAAGGTGTACAAAATATAATACACCATAGCACACTATAGTCATTTGGTGCAGTATTAGAGGAGAGAAATGTGAAGTATACCAAAAATTTGACTCATTGAGCTCATAACTGGTTTGACTCTCCTCAAATGCTGATGAACAAGATGAAAAAGATTCATTCTCTCTCATTATTATAATTGGGGTTACTCTTGCCCACCAAAAATTCAAAATCAGCATATGAGAATAAGGACTAGCTTTTTAAATGGCTGAAGTTGATGTATTCCATTATCATTTTCCTTGTTCTAATGTTTCCTTTTATGTCTACTTTAACTGATGCTATAGCAATCGATAGATTCTTTAGGTGCTCGTCCCAAGGTATTATGAATAATTCCAAACACCAATGTTTTTATATTGTGAGTTTATATTTGATACACTATTAGTATATAAATTTTATATATTGTCAATGAATCAGATAATAACATCTCATTAATGAGCAAATATCAGCTCTTAAAAATAAATATACAAAAATTAATATTTTTTAAAAAACTTACTCATTAATGACGTGTTATCATCTTATTTACCTCATTAATGAAGTGATAGCACCTGATTCATTGACAGTGTATAGAATCTATACACTAACAGTGCATTAAATATAAACCCTTATATTGCCTGATTAATATATTTTTGAAAGGCTAATCTGACCATGCCATGAATTATGGCAATGCTGACACACAAATTTCAAGGTAATTGGAAGATACAATATTTGCTGACTACTCCCAAACTAATACGAGATTGAGAAAGATTACCTGCACATCTCCCGCTGCAAATACACCTTCAACAGAAGTTTTACCAGTACCCTCCTCAACTAGCACATATCCTGAGCTGTCAAGTTTGACTTGACCATGCAACAGCTGGCTATTTGGTGAATGTCCTATACCATAAAACAAGCCCTTTGCCTCGAGCACAGATTCCTCCCCTGTATCAACACTTCTGGTCAATATGCCTGACATTTGACCTTTTGTATTGCTAACAACGTCCACAGCCTCTGTAGTGAAGTGCAGGGTGATATTTGGATTGTTGTAAACTCTGAAACATTCGCGATAATTAACCTGTTAAACAAACATTCAGGGAGTTGAAAACTCAACATACAAATTGCTCATTAGTACACAATGCAACACAACCAAGGTAGCAATTAAAATCAACATGAGAAATTTTAGCTACCACTATGCAACTGACATAAATTGCATTTAAATGAAAGAACAAAAAGTGATGTAAAAAGCAGACAGTCACCACAGGTTCCATTAAAGCAAAGCCTTAAGCTTTTAGATAATTCACTCTGATAAATTTCAAATAATATATAATGAAATTTTTACAAAAACTTTAATGGAATAGTTCAATAAATTGCATGATGTATTTGAGACTAAGTAAAAGTGCAGTGGAAAAGTTAAAACTGCAGACACCTTCTATAAGGAGGATTAACTAAATTGAGTAAAGGTCATGATTTGACAAAATTGCCTAGGTTATTGGCCCATTGATTAAAAGAAAGCAACTTGTAAGATCTAGCATATAAGAGACAGCATCAGCTTCTATGATGATGATGATGATAAAATGATAGAAGCAAGTCCTTTATATTAGCCAGTGTTTTCCCACCACAATTAACAGAACAACCCAGCATCCTAAAGACCCTATATCCCAATTGAACAACTAAAAATGTGTTCGATAATTCATGCTAAAATGATAAAATTAATTTTGAAAAAAAAATGATACTTTTCACTGCAACTCTTCCAGAATTGAAAAAAAAAAAAAAGGCGAACTGTTGAGACCTACACTAAAACATCAAAAACCCAAAGATAAATTAGGCAGTAATTTATATCTGGTTAGAATTTGTTTATTATATGATAAATCCAGCAAACTAAAAATTATAGGATATGTGCGATAACTGCTGCATTTACATATCATCTCTACAGGTTAAAAATTCAAGCAAGAACAGCCTATCATGTTTCTTCTCACTCCTAGGCACTATTATAGAGCTCCATGCCCCAATTAATCTAAATTTTCACATAGCACAAAACTTTTAACCTGTAAATTCGCTATTTAACCTGTGCTAATATAGCCAAAGAGGAGCACAAGGATGACGCTCTTATTGAACAGTAAACTGACAAGAGCATGGCAAATGAAGAAGGATTAATATTGCAAATTTATGTTGTCACTTGTATATGCATTCTAGGATTAAGAAGCTCTACTTGCATTTCGAGGAGTTTTGACATGGGTAATAAGGTCCAAAGATGTACCCAAAAATAAATACAATAAGGTCCACAAACAATTGAGAACCTTTAAAGCAAGCTTGTCAACAATTTTAACATCCTCTAACATATACAACTTACGCAAGCAAATGCACAACATATGGGTTGATATGAAGAAATAAAAATCAGAAAAAAAAAAAAAAAGAAAACCTAGAAGTATAAAAATTTCAATCACACCATGTAAGATATAGAATGAAAGGAAAAATGTTAAGTACAAGAGTCCAGAACTTTTGAAAAGATATCTCACAAGCAGGTATATTGCTGCCTTCCATAAACATTACATAAACATGCAAGCAATTTGAACAACCAATTATTAAAGCACAATGTAAAATATTGGCCATAAAATTTTAAACAGAATAAGACTTTGTCAAACTCACCTATCTTGCATTGCTTTTGATGCTCTTAGTTGGTCCTTACGAACAAGCAAGTGAACATGACGAGCATATTTAGTTAAGTATAATGCTTCTTCAGTAGCCGTATCACCTCCTCCAACCACAGCAAGTACTTGTCGTTTAAACAATGGCGATGCTCCATCACAAATTGCACAAGCACTAATTCCCCTACTCCAAAATTCATCTTCACGGGGTAACCTGAGCCTTTTTGCTGTAGCTCCAGTAGCAAAAATCAAACTGTGGCACTTAACCTGAAATACAAATGTAAGGAACAAATTTGAATAAAGAAAAAGCACCATAAAGAAATTATTCAAGGACCAATAAATTCTGAGTCCCTAAAAGTTTATTGGATCAAAGTAAAAGGTAAACAACTAAATATGCTCCTTTCTTTTCTTTTCTTTTTTCTTTTGAGACGTAGCATCATGTAATTGAATAATTGACTGACATTGGCTCCATAACAAGAAAGAAAAAGTTTTCAACTCAATATGGTGTTCCAAAGGAAAAGACTGGTATCACATCGACTAGCATGACATTCAGTTGGAAAATTAATTAGTGCAGTCCTACAAAGCGTCATTATTGCCCATAATGAAGTACTGCGAGAGATGGTATCTAATAATTTGAAATATGTTCAGATAATCCATTATTCTAATAATTTTAACTGCTTAAACATAACAATGGAAAGAGCCAAAAAAATTTTACATCACCTCGCGTTCACTACTCTGTATTGTAAAAGGATTGTTTTTAACATCAATGTGTTCCACATCTTCTTGGAACAATTCAGCTCCCCAACGCTCAGCTTGTCGTCGCATCCTAGTCAAAAAAAGAGCAAGGCTCAATTGTATAATTCTAGTTGAAAAAGTAGCTGCCAATAAAAATAACAGACAAGAAAGACAGCCTTTCATCCTTTTTTAATTACCTATCCATCAAATCTGGACCAGTTATTCCATCAGGAAAACCAGGGAAGTTCTCCACTTCAGTGGTAGTCATCAACTGGCCACCAGGAACACCACCAATTTGATATCCCTCAAACACTACAGGCTTCAAATTGGCACGAGCTGCATATATTGCTGCTGTATATCCAGCAGGACCTGAACCTATGATCACCACATTCTCGACTGATTTATCTGCAAGATGAAAGATGAAATCATTACTAATGCCTTCAAATGACGTTTCGTCACAAACACCAAGAGAGACATAACTCTGAACCTGCCTATAATCTAGCTCAAAGTAAAAGCTAAAATAACATAACTAAATCTTGTAAAGTATAACTATTGATATGAACATTTTGAGATTAGGAAGTACAATTTTTGCACTTCATGTTACGCCAATAGTTGATAACACCCATGCCAGTGACAAATTATAACTGTTGTAGACTTAAGCTCCATTTGGTTGTTAGTCCCACTAATTCCTTTTGGGGTTCTTAGGCTCTGTTTTTTGCTCTGTCTTTTGTTACCAGGTTAATTTTTATTTTTTGCTTTCCACTTTATATTGCAAAAAGCAAGACGTAAATAGTAAAAGTATAGACCAAACAAAAAATAATTACATCGTTCCTATAAGAGAAAGATTATATAAAATAGTTACTCAGTGTCAGTATATATGGCCCTCATTCAAATCATTCCATGTGATCACATTCTTAAAAAGTTAACTATTTATTACACATTACATGTGATAATTAAATGGTAAATATTATTTGTACAGACTTATTAATGATTTTTTGTAATAAATAGATAATTTTTTCCAAGAATGTATGATTTGAATGGAAGACATGTATGTAGACGCTGAGTAACCGTTTCATTTCATATAATCCTTTTTCATTAGTAAAATGCCATATTCTCCTTACCATTTTACAAGCACTTTCCTTCTTAGAATTTATTTAGAGAGAAAAAGAAAATCCACAGTTTTTTCATTTCAGTTTGAAATGGAATTAATTTAGAAAAATAAAAGCTTAGACAACACCTGTCTTAATTCAACATTTCCTAACTAAACAAATAAATAAATAAAACTAGCAGTCAAATTTTGGAAAAAAAAAAAACGAAAATGAAAACAGTACAAAACATAGGATTCTGACATAAAATAGTAAATCAGAGAGAGAGACCTGCGGCGGCGGGGGTTTCAACGGAGGCCTTGGGACGGAGACAGAGAGGGCGATGGCGAGTGGAAGGAGAGTGAAAGCCGAGGGCACGTGGGGGGGAAGAGTAGAAGAAGAATAATGGATAGGGGTAGGAGAGAGTGGTCATGGGAAGAGGGTGAATGCAAGGAGTGGGGGGGATTGGGATTCCAATTCCTATCTTGGAAGAGACACCCATTGGATTTTAGACCATACAAAAACCAGTAACAAAAAATAAATAAATAAATAAAAATCCAAAGCCAAAGCCAGCTATTACTTACTGTTAGCACCGATTGGGCGTAAGGCTATCTTCGAGATTATCATCTCCAGGCCAATGCCTTCCCGATAACATTTTTCTTTTTTTTTTTTGGTCTTTGTAAAACATTTTTCTTTTTTTCTTCTATACCCCGCAAAAGGATTAATGTTGTAATTTATTCTTAAATTTTAAAAATATATAATATAATATTTAAATTATAAATTTATTAATTAATATAATATTTAAAATATTATTTATATTATATATTATTATTTAAAATTAATTATGTTAATATTATAGTTTAAATATACATTAAAAATATTTAAAATTTATATATTAAACTAAATATATTACTATAATTCAAAGACTAGCCATAATGTCAATTCTTCTCAAGATTATAAGTTCCCACAGTAAGAATATGGGATATTTCATGTAAAAACATAGATATTTCTAAATTGAATTATTTACATTACTTGTTATTATTTTTTTTTAGTAATTTTTAATTCAAATTATTTAACACATATTTTATGAACTTCATACGGATAAAAAAAATTAAATATTTATCTTTTTACATTTGAGATTGTCGTGATCAAAATTATAATCATTAAAATTAAATGTTCAATAATTTATTAACATATCACATAATTATTAATAAAAATTACATTTGTATGCATTTTATTTAACTACATTTTTAGCCTCTTTCAAAAAATTAAATTGATTAAAAATTAAAACATTTTAATATTTTCTTATAACCTCTTTCAAATTTATTTATTAACCAGTAAAAGAAACACTTAAGATTATTCTCTAAATGTAATCACAATTGGTACTATTTTATCGGCCAAAACATGGAAGCTTCGTCCAGTCGGCTAAACCGGTAATTATGCTGCAGGCCAAAGCACCTCTGCCTGCTTCAATCGCAGGAGTTGTAATATAATAATAGTATAGAGCCTTGTTTAGTTATTTTTTAACCATTTTCACTAATGTTTCAATGGTAAGTGGTTGCTTCCTTTAATTTTTTTAAAAAAAAAAACACAACAAAATATTATACAACTAATTCATTATTATCAAAGTAAAAAAAAATTAAAATATAACTATTAGGAAATTTAAATACATGGAATTTTTTACTATTTAAATCTGTTGATAAGATTTTAGATTAAATAAATTTTAGAGTATTAATTGGTCTCACCAAATTTTAAATAATTATTATCAACAAATTTTTAAGTTGATAAAATTCAAATACTTTATTTATAAATTTTATATTTGAATCTCGTTATCAACAATTTCTATTAGTGGATAATTTGTAAATTTAATATAAATCCTCCTCAAAATCTATAATCCCTCTTACCTTGAACTAGAGAAATATGCCCTCACCCTAAATCTACTTTTAAATTAAAAAATTTTGAATAACTATTATTAAAGATAAGATCATTATGATAAAAAAATTTTAGTATATTTATTTTATAAATACATCCCCAAAATTTTGAATAGAAAATTAAAACAATATGTCAATAATTGTTGGACCTTCAAAAAATAATATAAGAAAAAAAATGAGTGCAATTGAAATGAGAATGCTTAAATAGATATGTGGTAAGATTAGAAAAGATAAAATTAAAAATGAACAGATTCAAGAAAAATTAAAGATAGTCCAAATTAAGAAAAAAGATAAGAGAATGATGTTTGAGATGGTTTGGATATGTAAAATGTAGGTCTATCTGTACACCAATTAAGAGAAATGAGCTTCTAAATTTAGAAGAGACAAAAACTTTTAGAGATATACTACAAAAAATGTGGATGCAAATAATAAAAATCGATATAAGAGTTAAGAAAATAAATGAAAATATTATTTTTTTTATAAAAATAAATAACATAAAAAATTTAAAATTACAACCTAATATAATTTTTTTTTTGGCCTTTTATATAGCTGATACCTGATTTATAAGATATAAAACTTAATTTGTTATTGTTATTGTAAATATAAAGGTCCAATCTCAACCTTATAAAGTTAATAAAATTTTTAGAGTCTTTAAATTAAGGTTGTTGATTGTTATTCCATGGTCACATTTAGGAATAATGTCTAACATTTATCATCCTAATAAGGATGATAATCAAATTTATCAATCATTTTTTGAACATGGGTAATTTTAATTATCACTCGACATTTTAGTTTGAATCAAAATTAGACAAAAAGTTAATAGAATATTCTAGTTTTTCACAAAATATTTTTTATCATGAATTCTTAATATTTTTTAATCAAATTAAAAAGTATAGTAATATGGTTGCACCATTTAAAATGAGTGGTAAACTTAATTCATCACATTAAGTTATAAATTCAAATCTTATAAAATTACATTTACTTTATCTTTTTCAATCAATTAAAATTGATTAAATTGCTAATTTAAAATTCAATGTTTGGACCTATTTTCAATTAATGACACAACATTTAATTTGATCCAAGTTATGATTAAACGTTTTCAAAATTTAACAAATAAGAATAATTTTTGGATGAAATAAATCACCTAAGCAATGTACATTATTAAAAAGCCTCATTGTAGATGATGTGTCACATTTTATTCAGGTGGCATGAAGCAAGTCATATGTATAATTTTAAAAATAAAAAAATAAATCTAAAGAAATTTGCTTTTTCTTAAGCAAAAAGATAGGAAATTCAAATTTTTTCTTAAAAAAAAAATATGACTTTTTTTTCTTATCTTTTATTGTCTTTTATTTAAGGGGTAAAAAAAAAGTAGATATCCAAAATGGTAGAACTTGAAATTGGATATAAGAAAATTAAACAAAATTTTTGAAAAAGAAAAACTATTGAATAAGACAAAGAAATTTTATTTGTTCACATTCCTCAAAAATCTTTTTTTTTTTTTTGTTCTTTTAAGCCCTTGAAACTCATTCCAGTTTTTATCATTAAATCTACTTTCATATCCAATCCTTTTCTAAACTTGTAACACTCCTATATCAAATAAAAAAGAAGATCCAATATTTAAATTCAAAAGACTTGGTCAACTTCCATTACTTCTTCTACAAAGGTAAAAATGGAAGAGCTTGAGAATGAGTCAATGATCAAGTTATTATATGCAGGATAAAGTTTGAGTTATGTAATGAAAGAAGCTTTACACTAGAAAAGATGATAACAGTAGTGGATGATAGTGTAGACACCTAATTTTATAAAAACTAATTCAATATTTTTTTATTCTTGGTCTGAACATATCCCTTTTGGACTCATTAGAACATTTTTAATTGAATTTATTTCACATTATACCCAAAAAAAATTTGTTTTAGATCACTTTTTTAGGGTCACTTTTGAGTGGACCATTTGATATGAATCAAAATCAATGATGGACTATTTTACAACCTAATGTCAAATTATATAGTCCAAGGCTCAAAAAGCTCAAAGTCTAACGGTAAAACCAAACCCAGGTTTTAAGGCCCAAAAGTGTTTTTGTTAAAAATTAGTTAAAGAACAAAAAATGGGGTTAGCTTGACATGGTTAGCATAGTAGCAAGCTTTCTCCTCATAGGCCACCTTTCACAATTTGCCCATCTATTTCCAACTTCACGTTTTTCATCTTTGCTTTGCCCACTACCCTTCTACATGAATTGGTCAAAATTTCAATATCCAAAAATTTGCATGCTCCATTAACACAAAAATCAATAGCCATAACTGCCAGGGCAACATGGCAAAACCCTCAGCTAGGTAAAGTCAATATGCTAGAATCCTCTATCATCTCTTTAAATGGATAACCAAGAGGTAATAAGGAAATAGATAAGGAGAATTCAAAATCAAAAAAAATTATTTTTCAATCCTTGCATCCTTTTCCCATGGCAATCATTATACCACCACCATTTCTACAATCTAGAACCAATCGTTACCAAAAAACCACCACCTCTCTGAAAATCAACTCCTCACCACTATAGATATCCTATTTTGTCCTGGAGTTTTTTTTAAGTTGGAATGGACCTCGACCATAAGTTAGGCCCGATTAGGAAGCATTAGGCCCAACAAGATAAAAGCCCATAATTTTAATTTGAATTTTAATTTTAACTTTAATTTAATTTTGATTTTATTTTATTTTTATCAAATTTGGTCAAAAGTAAAAAAAAAAAAGTTAAAAGTCAAAAGAAAAAAAAAGTCAAAAGGAGAAAATGAGAAAATAAAAAAAGGAAAGAAAATGTAAATTTTGAAAATCATAGGAATCAAATCTACTAGATTTCATAAAATGAAAATTAAAGACAAGTCTTCGTGTAAAAAGGAAAACTCAAAATCAAATCATAGATTACAAAATCGCAATAAAATTATAATCAATTTAACTTATTTTTCAAAATTAAAGGGATTCAATCCTTATAAATGAACAAAAATCACACACAAATCGGTGGGGGAACAAGAGGCAAATTTATAAGTTAATTTTTTGGATTTTGTAATTTTGGTTATAAAGTCTTGGTTTTTGGGAAATAGTTTTGGTTTTGAAGTTTGATGGTAGATTGGTATTTTGGGGAGTTTTCAAGGTTGAATTTTCTTTATGGGTTTAATTTTTAAGGTTTTTTTTAAATGATCGCGTTTTGAGTTCTTAGGTTTTGAAATAGTTATTTTAATGCTAATTTGATGATTTTTTTAGTTTTGGCTTGAATTTCTAGGAAAATTTTGATGTTCCTGGGTTTGGGTTGAATTTTAGAAATTTTGGGTTTTTTTTTGGAATTTTTCTGTGTTTTGTTTGAATTTTTTAGTGAGGGTTTGAATTTTTTGGTTGGGGTTTACGATGGTCAGAGTAAGGGCAACAATCAGATTTCTGGAATTTCATGTTGTTTTCTAAATAAGTTTGAGGTTTCTAGCGGCTAGTTGAATTTTTCGATGCTGGAACCTAGGATCTTTGGCCGTGTTCTTGAATTTTTTGAGAATTTGGATGAATTTTTATAAAAAAGAACAAGGAAAAAAGTTTAGAGAGAGAAAAGACCAAGGGTTTTGACAAAAAAAAAGAGCAAGGATTGGGGGCTTTTATTC